GAATTACTATACCTGTGGTTTTTTTTTAGTACTACTATATAACTACAATATGCTTGCATAGTGAATTTTTGCACATCGCCTATTTCGGAAAAGATTCATAAGCACCTCTCTAATGGAAAGGCAAAAAAAAAAAAAAAAAAAAAACTTCCCTTTATAAATTAAAGTAGGGAGACTCACTCTTATTCGTTTGTTTAAGGTGCATACCAACCTATTTCCTCTCCGTGTTCAAAATCTTAGTGTTGGTGTAACATTGCACAAAAGATCACGAGGGACTACCTATGTAATATGAACCGTTTAAGGACTTTAAATTATGAGCAACATTTTATTTACAGTATTCAAAGTCTAAGATCTTTCCACGTACTCTCATTTTGAATTTGAACAACATTGGAGTTGTTTTCCATACTAGAGAGTCAATTCTTGACTAGGGTTGGACATGCAAGTAAATTTGATTAGTTTGCTTGTGGAATGTTCAAACATCGAGTAAGGAACTAGTTCTCCTTACTTCAAGGTCTTTAATCAAGATAATCCATTGTTAAAGAAAAGATTTGGAGAGAGGGGAAGAGAAAAAGAGAGCAGAGGTATTTAATTATATATATAAATATCATTGAAATAGTACACATTTTTTGGACTTTTTAAGTATTCACAGATGTCATTGAAGCCTAAATTTGTTGTAAGTATAGCAACAAGAAAATATCTTTAAAATATCATAAATCAAATCAATCTCACTTGTCTCGAGAAAACATTTAGGAACCTAAAAAATCCAATAATCACGAACAAGGACACGACGCCACTCCTTTCTAGCAACATATCGTCAATAAAAGAAGAGAAGAAAAAGTTCATGTAATAGTCATTTTAATATTTGATCAACATCAATATTTAATTCCCTAGATTCGATTTCAAATTTCATATAAGGCTAAATAAATAAATAAATAAGTAAGTAAAATAGAAAGGTAGCAAAGTCAAGGGAAAAGAAAATCTTAATTAGAATGAGAGAAGCCCAAAGCTAAACAAACATCTCACATATCAATTTTAGCTTTTTAGATTATGTTGTGACACCACCCCGCATGAAATCTCTTGACACTACGGTCAATCCTTCACTTTTTTTCCAACTCCCATATAAATTCTAAGACATCCAAGGAAGTCAAATACAATAGAAAAATTACACATCTCTCCATGAAGGAACCTTCTAGGGGAAGGCTCCAAGTAATCAAAATGGTGGATAAATGTAGTTATAATACATATTCATGTTAGCACGACTATACACACGTGTATTTTTTAATAATTGATCATAGTAAAATAACGGTGAGAAAAAAATAGTTGTTTAAAAGTTTAGAGACTAAAATATACGTTTTAAAAGTGTAGCTAGGGACTAAAATTGACATCCTGAAAGTTTATAGACTAAAATAGAATAATTCTAAAAGTTGAAGGACCAAAATGAGATTTCAACCAGTTTTTTTCAATCAAGTAAATATTGCCCCTAAATATCAAAAGTTATTTGAATTAAAATGATATTTTTATGGAGTTTTTTTTCCTTATTTATTTATTTATTTATTTATTATTATTATTAGAAGAATATGGAGTTGTTTTTAGTATAATATCATTTTCAATTGGTCCAATTTCTATAATAGCAAGTTATTTCAAGTTGTGCAAGTGATTATGGATCAGACGGTATGATGTGAGTAAGTTTCGATTCAATGAGTGGGAATATCTATTTTATCAAATTTATGATATTTTCAATTAAATTTAAAAATTTATTTTAACGTCAGCGTCATCATTTTATAATAAATTTTAATATCTTGTGATAGTAACTTTTTCATGGAAAAAAAAACAACACAAAAAGGAAGGAGCTTAAGGACAAAATTAAAATAAAAATAAACATTAAAAGAGCCAAACAGGTTGCATATTGAATTATATTGCACCTAATAACAACTAAACGTAGGTACAAATCTCATATTTGCAAATATTCTTGTTTAGGACAAACCTAACCATAGATCACCTGGTTAAGTCATATATCCCGACCAAAAGATCGTGGGTTCGAATTCCTACCCACATATATATTTGTACCAAAAAAAACTTATAAATCAAATATTGAAACTCCATATATTCCCTTGGTTAGGCTAGGTGGCTTGTCCTTGAAGGTGAATTTTTTTTCTTCCCTTAAAAGAAGAGCTTAAAGATGAAGCCAAGAGGATGTTGAATTAAACCATTAGACCAAGTCTAAAACCAATAATACTTTTTGACAGCCAAAATTGACATCTTGCCATGGGTGTCAATGCTACTTGCATACTTATCTTATGAAATTGGGCCTTCAAAGTTATTTAAAAATAAACTAGTATATTAGGTTAATATTGAGTTTAATAGTATCATAAAAAAATTATTTAATATACTTGAACCTCGGCTTAAATTTTAAATTAAGCATATTTAACATAGCATTGAAACAAAAGATCCTCTATTCAAATATGATCGGTAGCATCAAGCATAGATTATATTTACACTTACGAAAAATCATAAAAGGTAATTTCTATAGTCAATTCTCGTACTCGATTATCAACAAATCCATAGTAGTAATCGGAATGGAAAACATCACTTTCAATTGATAGGGATGGTTTCCTACTCTTATCATTTTAACCTTTCCCACACACCACAAGAAAAGTTTGTGGTCATGTACATGTATGTAATGTAAAGACATATTTACATATTCACAAACCTATTTTTTTAAATAGAAAATCACGAAATATTATCTATCGATAATACAATTTATCGATTTGTAAAAACCAGATTCATATAAATGATAGCTATCTTTTCTTCAAAATGTGGAAGACGAGATTTTTTTTTATTTATTTTTTTTTTGTGGGGCAATTAAAAGGATCGCAAATTTTTTCTCCAATTTCTCTGGTTCTAAATCAAGTCTCCATTTTAGTTCTATGTTTTTAGCATGTAGGAATTATTTTGATTGGAAGCTAGGTTACATCCAATTGTTGTTGATTTTAGAACGATGTGGTTTATTTAATAGGAATTGCTTGAAATTGTAGCGTGGGAGAGAAGATTACCGTTGGAAGGGCGTTTATAAGGATTTAAGTGCCTGATTTTATTATTATTATAAAAAAAACAAAAAAAAAGTCGACTTTGATACTAACCACCATAAAATGGGTTTGAAAAATGTACGTATGAACATATGCCATTAGGACGTATGGCAATATCTCATTTATTGATGCAGAATTTGGATTCAAGTTGCAATACGAGAAACTCCAAACGAGTGCTATCCAAAACTTCAATGTCTAAGTTAGTTAAGTAGAGTATAGCAATGTAATATATATATCTTGTGCAAGAGACTAAAGGCAAGAGTAAATAGAAAAATGGGATGTATGATAAGATATTAAAAAGAATTAGGGATCAATTACTTATATTGTATAATGTAAAACCTAGTTAATAGAATCATAATAGTGACATAAGTTATATTATATCATGGTGATTAAATATGTCATCAATGTATTGAGATGAATAGACATCGATGCATGAATTTTCACTATCCTTTAGCAATGAAATAAACTACCTTATTCAATTCTATGTTACTTCGGAAAACATAATTTACCTTTAGCACGAATTGGACAATACAAAATTGATGTCTATGTGTTCATTAATTTGAATTCTTTACGTTTCCGATGGACAATATTTTACCTTAGATTTACATTTTTTCCTTTATATATGGCAAGTTTACATAGTCATTATTCGCAAAGATGCAACAATTAGACAACCCTAACCATATTCATATCATAAAAAAAAAACGTGTCACTAACAATTTTATTTTCGTGACATACGTTATTTGAACTTTAGTTTGTAATTATTTAGTCATTCTATTTTCAAATAAGTAACAATTTAGTAACGATTTAGTCTTTATTATGAAATTCTTTTGTTAAGCTTCTAATATACATAGATTGATAAACCAACAAGGAACCAAATATGCTTATAAATTAGAAAGATTAAATTATTATACAATAAAACTTGATACTTCATTTTAATAAGAATTTTCATGATAAGAACTAAATTGTTACAAATTTTAAACTATACAGACTAAATCGGCTAAATCGTTACTTGATCGTTACTTGAGTGAAATTATAGAGACTAAAAGAACAAAGAAAAAATCAAAGCAAATCATCAATTGAAAATCATCAATTGAAGATTTAATTAATCGAAAATCTAGGAAGAAATATGTGATATTCGAAAATTTGTTGAGAGATTCTTAAAAAGCTAAAAGGTTGGATCTTTAACTCAAGAAGGGGTTTTATTTCTTTCTTTTATTTTTTCTTTTCTTGATAACGGGAGTCAGAGTTATACACAGAGCAGCCGCGCCTACCTTGAGGTCCAGACATCAAAGATTTTTGGTATTAATTAGGAAGAGGTTTA